CATTAGCATTGTGAAATAGAGAAACATGGAGATCACTAGTGTACTTGAGAAAGAGGTTATTTGAATGTAATTCTTTGTGTGAATATTTTTATGGCATCGGTGACCCTATTGCCTTGGCAAAGTTATGGGCTTTATGAGTGTTTCTAGTTCCAATTGTAATTAAAACCCAGTTGTTCAAATTTCACCAAGGCAAATTTTAACTTTATGCTCTGCACTTATAGGGACCATGCAGTATAATTTGCTTTGGGAGAGAAGGTGCTTCAAAAGGAAAAGGGTTACATTATTGATACTGTATGGTAGGTGTGGTTGAATGTAACTTTCTGTCACAGAAAAAGTCACAGGATAATAACCCACCAGATTTTAAGAGCTAATTATAAATGATCACATAGTTATGGTAAATATGATTGTGTGTTTAAAAAGTGATAAGCTATAATTATGGTCAGTATCATTAATGTCCCATAGTTAATCAGAAACAAAAGTGATGAAGAATAGTAGACTAACCATTTTAGGGAATGTAACAAGTACAGAAAATGTTTGATTTGTTTGTGACTGCTGTTGTGGCCAGAATTACATTGATTGTTTTGATCAAACAGACCAGTGGGACAGTGGAGTTACCTGCTCCAGTTAGTGGACGTAATACAAGCAGAGGAACAAGTGCATCTCCCAAGCCACTGCCAAAAGCTCCAGGCAGCAAGAGTTCCTCTCCATCACCAGGGTCTGTTGCAAAAGGAACTGCATCATCATCAAAAGCATCAGCCACAGCCACTGCATCAAGTGCCACTCAGGACTTGCTTGGGCTGGGTAAGTGTTTCATATATGGCAATAAAATCCTCTTTAAAGATTGAAATATGTTTTGGTGTGGAAAATTGCTTATCAACTGATATTTAACATACAGTACTAAACATTTATTAGTAAATAATATATCTTCCTATGTAAAGTTTATTGCTACACAAACCAGGAGTGTACTGTGTTAATTAGAAAGAGGTAATGACTTGAATTATTATAAGTGGATCATACTTTTAGGTTTTATTAACTCCTTGGATCCAGATGCGTCACAGTAATCACATGGATGAAAGTACAGGCATTAGGCTTACATACGTGGCCACCTGGTGCATAGCATGTAGGCTGGGTGTATGCAAGCACTTGTTTGTGGTGACAAGAGTCTATGCCTCCCTTTTGCAAATTATTTTGCATGAACATTTTTAGCTTTTTTGCCATTTTCCGATGTCAATATTTTTCTTTTGATTTGTTTTATCCAGATGGTAATATACTATTTTCCTTGCACAGACTCCATCACATCTCTATGTAGTAAATATCTCAGTGTAAGAAAGAAAAAGAAATGTTGCATTTTTTTATTTGTCTTACATTTTATTTTTTCAAAATATTCAATTTTCTGTAATACCACATGTGCTGTTGGTCACAGGGGTCAGGAATAGGATGCTGAGCATGGAAATGGCATCCTCTCTGGAGCCAACGCTCTTCTAATCATGGATTATGGACATTACATTCCACACTTGTTGATCAGTGTGAATAATGCAAACACCCCTTCCTAAAAGCCAAATGAGTCAAATCACCCTCTAAGAGGTTTGTGCACTTGTGGCGAGTCTTTTCAATCACCCTAGCCTTCACTCATGACAGCAAGTTTGCGCCACCCAGCCCAAGGCCATTTTATCCCATGACGGTATGTTCATGTCACCTAGCCCTCAACCCAAATTTTTCCATGACATAATGTTCATGTTATCTGGATCCCAGGAGTTAAGGTCATTACAAAGAACTTGCTCATGATAGCTGTCTTTCATATTTGATAGATGCACCCTCAACCAATGGTACAAGCACAGATAGTTCAGATCCATTTGGGGAGTTTGTAGTTGCACCAGCCAGCCAGACAACAACCACTCCAAATGTAACCAGTAATACAGCAAACCAAGAAACTCCAGCTGCTCCTGCCAGTGACTCGGCCAAAACAGATGAGGAAAATTTCTTTAATCAAAAATTACCTGAGGGGGGATCAGATAAATTGACAAAGGACTCAATCCTAGCCTTATATGGGCAAGCACCTGCTCAACCACAGCCAACAAATGTATATGGTGTTCCCAGTAATGTATACATGGGAGGGGCACCTCCTGGCCAACCCATGCCTCAAGCTCCAATGGGTATGCAGAATGGAGGGGTTATGGCACCACAGCAACAGAACATGATGTTTATGGCTCAAGTAAGCATTGTTATGGTTGAACCTTTACTATAGTTATGTCTTGAATTGAATCATGCCAACTGTAGAAGATAGAAGTTAGTATGACATTGCCAGCTTCATTGTAATTTTTTCTTCTTTTTTTACTGTTTTAGAGGACAGTCATTTAGTGTTATATGTTCCAGATTCGGTCAACCTTGTCAGTGTTTTCAAATCTTCTTTAAAATAGTTAAGAGCATTTCTCTTGTTCTTTATGTATTTTAAGTAAATAGAAGTAAAGTCATCTGAAAGCAAATGCATAAAAAATAAATTGGTATATATTTCATCTCATATGCAGTTAGAATCAATATTTCTTGCTACATGATTATTTCTTGTGCTCCCATAGAGTGGTATGGCAGGGAGTGGTGTTCCAAATCCTTTCTTTGCTAATGGCATGCCGCAGGCTGTCCCCACTTCCATTCAGCTCTCGGCAGCTAACCCATTTGCGCAGGTATGTGGTGATGAATTTTTGTTGATGTTCTTCAAAAGACAGTTATTAAAGATTTCAACAGAGAAAGGTGTTGTTGCTTTTTTAACTGGATTTCTTTAAATATAGAATCGAAAAATGGTCAGAAGTGGCTATATACTGATTTTACCATTTTCTTGTTTTTTTTTGTTGGATGCATTTATATTGTTTTTGCAATGATTTGTTTTCAGTTATTTTATTGAGCAAAAAGTGTCATGAAGGACCATTCCAGTTAGTTTGCAGAAGGCTCAATGCTAAGTGATTATTTTTCAGAAAATTATTATTTAAAAAGTTGCGGTGTGCTGCAGGTTTAAAAAAGATGTCAGTGGAACTGTTCTTGGCTGGTTTTTACATTCAGAAAGTGTATGTTTATATTTGTAAGTCAAAATTGACTTTTTTCCTTTAAAGATAAGTGTTTAAAAAAGTATAGTATGTGTATGAATATTTGCCTAGGACTTTAGGCTAAGAATAAAACTGTTAATCAGAAGAAATTGTGCTAATGAATATGTAGATTTTATTAGGAGTGAGATAAATATCTTCCATGGATAATGGATCCCATTTATTCAATTTTGTCATCATCATCATTCATGTTATTATCATTATTTTTATTATTTATTTATTTTTATTTATTCATTCATTTATTTTTAATGCTTTCCACAGTTTCTGGTGTTTGTGAATGAACTTGAGTAAACATTATGCTAAATGGTAAAAATATGAATATTGAAATAGACATAGGCTCTTTATATGTCTTTTGTATATATATTTTTTTCATTATTACTTGTTTATTGTCAGTTTTCCATATCCTTTTTATGCATGTAAATGGTTTTATAATCTGTAGAAATAAAGAAATGATTGCACTAATCAGCTTCATCATATATTTTTCTTGTCTTTGGCATTATCATTACTTTTATCATTTACTTTTCAAAATACATTTCATTGTATTTTGAATGTCATGATTGTCATCATAATTGAAATTTTGTATCATTATTATTATGATTAGTATTATGATAACGATATTGATGGTAATAGCAATAATGATAATGATTATAATGATTATAGCGATAGTGATGATGATGATGATGTTGATAATGATGAGAATAATTATAATAGTAATATTAATAATAATAATGATGAGAATGATGATAATGATAATGATATGATAATAATAATAATGATAATAGTAATAGTAATAATAATAATGATAATGATAATGATAATGATAATAAAATAAATAATAATAGACAATCATAATAATATTGAATAATGATAATAAAAATGATATTGATAATACTAATAAATATTATTATTATTTATGTTAATGTTATTCTTTTTCTTCTTCTTCTTCTTCTTATTATTATTATTGTTATTGTTATTGTTATTGTTATTATTATCATTATTATTATTATTGTTGTTGTTGTTGTTGTTGTTGTTGTTATTGTTGTTATTATTATTATTATTACTATTATTATTATTAGCTTTGTTCTTCATCTTTTTCTTTGTATTATTATTATTAGTATTAGCATTATTGTTATGAATATCATGACTGTTATTATTATTATTATTAGTGTTAATATGCAGGTTGTTGTTTTGTTATGATTATTATTGTTAATGTGCTGGTATTTGTTTTATTATCATTATTATATTATTATTATTATTATTATTATTATTATTGGTATTAATGTTGTTATTATTACTATTATTATCTTTATTATTGTTATTATTATTATTATTATTATTATTATTATTATTATTATTAATATCATTATTGATATTAACCCATTAATGCCAGTATATTTTGAAGCTGAAAATAAATGATTCCGAAAGAATAAAAGATTTTGGAACACGAGCTCTGATACAGCGTCACACTGGCGAGACGCCCAGCAATGTTTATTTTTTGGATGTCTCATATGTGGGACACCCGTTGTTAGTGGGTTAATGTTGTTATTTTTGCTATTATTATTGTTGTTATTACCATTATTATTATTATTATTGTTATTATTATTTTTATTTGTATTATTATTATTATTGTTATTGATATTATTATTATTATTATTATTATTATATTATTTATTATTATTATTATTATTATTTTATTATATATTATTATTATTATTATTATTATTATATATATATTATTATTATTATTATTATTATTATTGGTATTATTATTATTATTATTACTATATTGTTATTATTATCATTATTATTATCATTATACTAGATTATTATTATATTATTAATTATTATTATTATTATTATTATTATTATTATTATTATTATTATTATTATTATTATTATTAAAATATTATTATTATTACTATATTTTTATTACTATATTATTATTATTATTATTATCATTATTACTATATTATTATTACTATATTATTATAATAATAATAATAATAATAATAATAATAATAATAATAATAATAATGATAAAAATAATGATAATAATAATCTCATGATCCTTTTCATTGTTTTTGTTTTTATTATTATTTTCTTTTATTTATAAATTATTATTATAATTATCATTGTTATGATCCTTGTTATATTTTTATCATTATTAGTTTGATGATTATAATTGTTTATGTCAAGACCATTATATTATTATTATTATCATTATTTATATTATAATAATTATTATTAAAATTGTTGTTATCATTATTATTGTTGTTGGTTCATTGTATTGTTATTTTGGTGGTTTTGATGTAAAATAGTTATTGTTGTTGGTATTATTATTATTATTATTGTTATTTTTTATTGCTATTGTTATTTTTATTGTTATTATTATTATTATTACTATTATTATTTTTATTATTATTATTATTATTGTTGTTATTATTATATTGTTACTATTATTACTGATATTGTTAACATTTGTGTTATTAGCATTGTGATTGTTATATTTTTTCACTATTAGTGATTATTTGTTTGGTGGGATGAAGGAAGGGAAGGGTTAGGGGGGGCTCGGAATGAGATTGGCTCTCGGAAAGACCAGTGAACATCTCTGCTTTTGTCTTCCATTGTCCAGAAAGGCCCCATGCATCTCTTCTCTGCTCACTCTGACTTCAGCTACAGATCCTTCTTCCAGGTACTCGTCTAAACCTGCTTGAGCAAAATTTATCTCCCATTTTTGCAGTTCGTCTCCTTGGTGACCTCCATTATTGGCATTATTCTCTCTGCCCAGTCCCGGTTCATCCCCTCCTCTTGGTCCCCATGGCCTCCCCAAACATCTTTTCTTTCTTTCTGACTGACTTTCTTTTTTGCAAATTTTGTTTTCTTAATCTTTTCTTTTTTACGTCACTTTTTTGTTTTGTTTTGTTTGAGCTACTGCTTTCTGGATTTTTGTGAGGAGCCCAATTTTTTGAAAATGGTCTTGAAATTTTTGTGGTTATTTTTATGTATATTATTGGTTATTGTCTGCTCCCTTGTTTTCAACTTTGGAGCTGCGGCTGGCTCGTCAGCAGTCCTGCTTCAGCCTGTTCATATCCTCTTGATTATTCCACTTTTACCTGTTTTATACCCGTTTCATCTCCACTGTACATAAATTTTATCCAAGCCTTCCTCAGCATTTTGTGAATGCTTTTTAAATGCCTGAGCTATGAGGAGAATTTTCAAGCCGTCTCCTGTTTTTTATTTTCTTGGTCTTTTAACTTTACATCTTTAGCCTTTTTCTGCATCTTTTTGTTTTATTTATTTTCTTTCAAAATTAGGAAAGGAAAAATAAAGTTTGATGTAAGGTTTATTTTAGATTGAATAAATGTGAACTGACTGCATTTCATCTTCTCAGTCACTGGCTTCAAGAATGCTTTTCTCATGCAGATTGAATGTGTATAAGGAATTTTAATCCCATGGTGCTGGGAAAATGTAGTGTTCACTGTAGTGTTGTTTTATGAAATGTCTCTGTGCATAGATGGCTAGACAAGTGCTTAGTAGCAAAGGACTCAGTTATTAGACTTTATGACCTGATTTCACTTTTCCTTGAGCTTTGGGGAATTTTTTTCTTTTTTCTTTTTTACTAATGCTATCAATATTGATGCTGTTGTTATTATTATTATTATAGAATTTTTAATTATTATGTTATTTTTACATTACTAAAAGCAATATAAGATAAAAGAAAATACTTCCAAAAATCAAGGAGGCAGGTGAGGCAGGTAGTGTTCGTAATTGACTCATTAGTCACTTAGTATTTGTAGAGCCATCAGTGTGCAAAGACAATAAATCCATCTCCATGAGAATTTTGGGTTTGCTTGGCCTCTGCTCCAGGGAGTATGCACAGCAGACTAGGCTAGCCTCCAGGGCCTTTTTCAGATGTGGCAAGTCTGTAGTACCAACCAATGCTGTCATCTTCTTTACTAGTAAAGTAGGGATGTCACACTACATTTGGTGCCGGAGGACCCGAGTTGACGTCATCCTTTGAAGAGGTGGAGCCTATTATCTGGCCGAGAACTGGCTCATCCCACTTGCTTCTGTGTGTGCATGACACCGTTTCGTCCCCAGAGCCCTTCAATGTCTGCTAGCTTGAGTTTGGTAGATGCCAGTTATGACAATTTATTTTTGATAAATAAGTGACGTGCATTGCTTAACAGGTGACAGTCACAAGAACTGTTTTTTCTCTTACAAATTTAATATCTATCTGGATCAGAATTAAAGGAAAATACAATTTATAAACTAAAACAAAATGAAAACAACACATATCTGCACCATTTCAAAGCAAAAAAAAATTGTTGACTGCACTATTGTATATATAAAGCTAATCAGTTTAATGAAAACCAGGTTTTTATATGTTGTTTATGCCTTATATAAATAGTAAGTCAATGGAATTATAGGTTTAGATTATCTGTGAATATTATTTTGACTGTAGGTCTTTAAAAATCAAAATTTATCATATAATTATATTTGAACCTTGCTCGCAACCATTGTTAATGTGTGAACAGCAAACTCAATCAATACCAATAATCGAGGTGTATTTCATGTAATTGCTTGACATATTTTGGTAGTTGTATTGTTGTTCCTCTATATTCACTGTACAAGGCAGTTTATGAATGAATAAAGGAAAGAAAGAAGGCAGGGGAGAGGGAGATAGAGAAAGAGGGAGAGGGAGTTAGAGAAAGAGGGAGAGGNCCTCTTCTTCCCTGGCAAGTTCTCTGCTTCTTCTGCTCTCTTGTCCTCCTCTCCTATTCCTCTGCTGGTTACCTAATCGTCCAATTTCCTCTTGTTTCCTTTCTTCCCATTTTTTTGTACTTCTTGTCTTTTACCTGCTTCTTCATCCCTTATTTTCCGTCTTGTTCCTTCTCTTCTTTCTCTTTCTCCTTCGTTCTGCCTCCTTCTTCTTTTTCGTATCCTTTTTCTGCTTCTTCTTCGTCTCTCTTCTTCTTCTTCTTCTTTCTCTCTCCTTCCCTCTCTTCTTTTCTAGTCTTCTTCCTTCTCTTCTCTCTTCTTCTTAGTCTTCCTCTTCTTTTCTTCTCCTTCTCCTCTCTCTTCTCTTTTCTTCCATCTCTTCTCTCTTCTTCGTCTTCTTCCTCCTCTTCTCTTCTTTTCCTTCCTCCTTCTCTCTCTTCTCCTCCTCCTTCTTTTTCTTCTCCCCCCCTTCTTCCTCCCTTTTCCTCCTCTTCTCTCTTCATATTCGTTTTCTTCCTCCTTTCTCTTCATCTTCTTAATCTTCTCCCACCCCCTCTCCCTCCTCTTTGTTTTCCCATGCCCCGTCTTTATTCCTCGCTTCGTCCACGTCGACCGCAGTGATTCGCCAATCCTGAGGCAACCATTTAAACCGCAGGCAATTACTGAAGCCGCGAAACAGCCTCACGCGAGGAAGGGAGGAGAAGAGAGAGAGGAAGGAAGAGAGATGGAGACCGAGAGGAGAGGATGTCGGGGATGAGGGGAAGAGAGGGGATGAGGATGGAGAGAGAGGAAGAGATCGAGACGAGAGAGGTAGAGCTGATCGAGTGAGGGAGAGAGGAGAGAGAGAGAGAGAGTGAGAAGAGGGCGGAGAGAGAGGGACCGGGGAGGAGGGAGGAGAGAGGAGGGAGGACAGAGAGTCCCTGGGGAAGAGAGGGAAGAGAGAGGGAAGAGAAGGAGAGAGGAGAGGAGGATGACTTGAGAAGAGAAGGAGACATACAGACATCCAGAAACGATAGATCGAAGAGAGAGAGAGAGAGACAGACAAACACAAAACGATATAGAGAGACAGAATAAAAAATAGATCAGATCAGACAGGCAGAAAAAGCAAGGAGAGAAGGAGACAGAACAGAAACGAGAAGAAAGAAAGAGTGGGAGAATTCGGGAGAAGAGGGAGAGAAGAGAGATTAAGGGGATGAAGAAAGGGGATGTGAGAGAGTGGAAGAGCAGAACAGACCAGAAGAGAGAAAGAGAAAGCAAGAAACGAGGAGAGAGAAGAGGAAAAAGAGAGAGAAGAAAGAGAAAAGAAACAAAACAAGGACATAGAACAGAAATACGATGATGGGGGGGGGAAACTGAAGAGAGGAGAAGATAGAGATAAACAGAAAATAAGACAAGAAGAAAGCGAGAGAGAAGCGCGACGCACGGAGGACGAGAGCCAGACAACGTGACGACAGGAAAGGAGAAGAAGAGAGGCCGAAGTGGAAGTTGCGATGCAGGGTCCCCCCGACGCCGGTGGTCCGGCCTCAGCGTCCGGAGAGCAGGTGCAGAGTTTGGCATCCACGCGGCAAATGCGTCCTGGATGCACGTCTGCTCGGCCGGTGCTGATGGAGTCGGGGGAAGGCGGCAGGAGCAAGGCGGGGGAGGAGAAATGGAAGCGACGGGGGGCGCTGAGAGGTTGTACTGCAGGGGGGGTCTGCTAGGGTTCAGCCCCCGCTTCAACTCGGCCGTCCGCCCTGACCCTGCCTGCCGCTTCTGCCAGGGAGGGGGTGAGGGGCTCTTCCCCGATCCTCTCCCTCCCTCCTCTTCTCTCTCCCTCCTCCCCTCCTCTTCCTCCTGTCCTTTCTACCCCCTTCCCATACCTCTTCTCCATCTTTCTCCTGCCTCCTCCCCCTTCGTCTTTCTCTTTCCTTCTGCTACTCTTCTTTTTCTTCCTACCCACCCTTACTCCTTACTCCTTATCCTTCCTCCTCTTCCCCTCTCCCCCCTCCTCCTCCTCCTCTCCTCCTCCTTGTCCCCGGTTCCTTCCTCCCCTCTAAGGGGGGAGAGGCCAAATGGAAGAATACAAGGACGAGAGAGGGGCGGGAGGAGGAGAGAGAGAGACGAGAGAGGAGAGACGGAGAGAGAGGAGAGATAGTCTGAGAGGAGACGAGAGAGAGGAAGAGGAGAAGAAGAGGATGAGGAGAGGGAGAGGACAGAGAGAATCGAATGGAGGGAGAGAGAGAGATGAGGAGAGGGGAGATTGGCGAAAGAGGAGAGGAAGAGGCCGGTGAGGGAGAGAGGAGAGAGAGGGCAAGCGCAGAGAGCAAAGACGGGGGGCAAGCACAGCCAGCCAGAATATGTTCGGAATGTCGCCGACGCTGAGCCGCGAGCTCCGGGGTAGGCGGGGGGCTGGGTAGGGGGCCGAGGAGGTCTGGCCGCAAGGGGCGGCGGGGTGGGGAGTAGGGGAGCCAAGGGCGATGGGTACGGGAGAGAGGGAGGTAAGGAGGTAGTCGTAGGGGTCACAGGGGTACGAGGGAAGGGAGGGGGAGGGGAGTAGTCGTAGGGTCACAGGGGTAGCGAGGGAAGGGAGGAGATAGGGGAGGAGGGTAGTGTTAGGCGGTCACAGAGTTAGCGAGGGAGGGGGAGGGAGAGGAGTGGGGGAGGAGGTGAGGGGATAGGGGAAGGGTTGTGCCTTGGTCGGCGTGCGGGCGAGTGGAAGGAATCAGTGAGCTGTGCGATGTTGTGGGAGGGTGGAACGAGTGACGCTCCGCCCGTTGAACCGCTCTGCCGCTTGCTCCCCCTCCCCACGTCCTCCTCTCCTCCTCCCCTTCCTCCACGTTCTCGACACCCCCCCCCCCCCACGTGGACTACGAAGGTGTATAACGTCATTCGGAAAAAAAAACAAACAAACTCGCAAGGACGGGAGAAATGACCGTAATTTAATTCGCAATTTTTTTTTTATATATGTATCGATGTAGATCTTTGGAAAATCGTTGTCGAAATATCGCCTTGAAACGGAGTGTTGTGCCTGTTTGTGAAAAAAAATATTAATACGTTGTTCGAATCGTCAAGTAAAACCCATATCTCTTTCCGAAATAGTTAAGAATACATAAAAAAAAAGAAAGACGGTATGACCCCTGTTGTATCATAAGTGCAATGTGACTTCACTCTTTTTTTTAAAAGGAAAAAAAGAGTTTACTTCACGCAAAAAGTGTACTATTTTTTTTTTTTTTTTTATATACTATCTGAAAAGTTCTCTCGCCGCCCCCCCCCCCCTCTCGTGTGCGGACTTTGGCGAGGGGACTTTGCTGGGAGAGTCACCATGATCGTATGCACTTCATACCAAGAGGAGCAACACATAGTCCAGAGTGAAGGTAGGCCTACGAGAGAGAGAAAAGATGAATGAATGGAGGAAATTGTTTTAATTCATGGTGTGGGGGTCTGTTTAGAAGCTGTTTTTTCCTTTTTTTTTTTTTGGAAATGGTGGAAGAAAGAAATAATTACTTGGTGGTCTTGGATTGGAATCTTTTGGAAATGGTTGAAAATAATTTTGAAATCAAGTGGTTTTTTTTGTATTTGGAAATATGTGAAAATATGTGAAAAAAAAAATAATTGGTGGTCTTATTTTGAAGTTTTTGGAAATGGAAGAATATTTTAATTAAGTGGTTTTGTTTGGAAATTTTTGGAAATGGAAAAAAAATACTTAAGGGTCTTGTTTAGGAAGTTTTTGGTTTTCAAGGGAGGAGGCTGCTATATGCTGAAGATCGTTTTAAGGGAAGGTTTTGGGGATTCGAGATGCAATAAGGAAGATTTTAAGTGAAAATTCCTTAATTGATGGTCCTGTCTGCAACTTTATGGTGCTTGGTGAAGATCGTGCAAAGTGAATGTAGGCCTATGGTACAAATAGTGAAAATGGAAAAAAATGG